GTAACTGATGCAACTTGTTTTACCGATTTGTTAATGTAGGCCAAAACTACCGTTGTAGATGCAGTTTACAGGCAGAGTACTTTCAAGAGTGATGAGACAGACCACTTGAATATCGCGCACATGGTCCATCTCTGGTGAAGAAAAAATTATTCACTAGTGCAGACCAACAAGATATTTGACTTGTACTGTCCAGTGTCCTCAGTGATCTGCCGGGTGGGAAATTTGGTTGGCCGGCACACAGATCGCTCAGCGTGCCAACGCAACAGCAACCAGTTCTCTGGGAATTATTTGGCGGTTTATTGGTTAAGCTGTGAATAGTACGCATGTACCGACCACGTATAACGTAACAATTAGGGAAAGTGAAATCAGTGTGTAATGACTTTGTGTGCAAACGCTAAACGATTCTCATGGTAAACTTGAACCAGAAGCGATAGAGGCACCACAACGAACAGCAACAAAGAATGCAAGGGGCCTGCGCTATCACTCTTACCACCGGAGGCTGAAGTTGCTGAGGTTTTTCAGCGGACGCTATCGAAGGCTGCGCGGCGATCTCATATTAACTTATCAGATACTGAGTGACCCCAACCACGTATGCCGCCATTTGCTGAAACTTAGCCACAACACGCAGCTCAGGGGTAACTGCTTAAAATTGAAGGAACAATATGACATACTAGAGTGTCGACGGAATTACTTTTCCCTTCGGGTTTGTCAACCCTGGACGCACTCCCAGACTCAGTTTGTATCCTCTCCTACCTTGGACGTTTTCAAAAAACGATTAGATGTTGCTCTTAGCTCCCAGCATTTTGTTACCTAAACTTCTCTGTTGTGGATTACGCCAAGTGTGCCTTTCAAAAGGATTTATGTATCAAATGGACCTAGGCGAGCGACCATATTTTACTTTTCGCACTCCTTACATCAACCATCACTGCACCCCAGTGTCTTTCTGAACATTTACGCTCGATAATTTTTTTTTACTTTTTACACTGATGTTAGTTATCAAAGTATTCATCTAGGCAGACGTTCGGTAGGTGACCCAGATATATTTTGGGTTCATCATGTTCACCTCAACCATCCTACGGAACGTGTCAAGCACTTTCTTTTATCCCGTGATAATCATTGTTCATTGTTCATTGTTCAAGTGTTTGCACTCGTTGGGTGTTACTCACGAGGTGTTCGTTCTTCTTCTCTCACCGAATCTCTGACGGAAGCAAACCATTCACCGGACAATCGAATCAGTATTGACCGTCTGAAAGTATATTTCTGACTAAAGCTGAACCAAATATTATTATTTTACAGTCCCTGGGGCGTTCACGTCCCGATATTTACAATTACAAAAGCAATAGCTTATAAGTCACAGCCATAGATACCTTTTAATCATCAGATAGAATCCGATTGTCATTCAGTCTAGAACATCACTGCTCCATTTGGATTAATTCTTGATCGGGTTATGGCCCTTATACCTTTGGGGTTATGTTCGTAACAAGATGTTTGGGTCCTTATACCCAAGTTCAAGTTATCATGGCACATTATTTATAGCTGCTGATGGGTGATTTGAGTCACTTCATTGCCTCACTGTTCGAAAAACCTTTGCTTTCCAGCATTACTTGTAAAATTTACCCGTCAGATTTTAACTAGCGTGTCGTAGGTTACCTCTGTGCTTTCCTGTCCGTTTTGCATAAAGTGTCGTCGGCACACACACGCGTCAGAGTTTTCGAGACAGTTTTTGGCTGAGAATTTTGGTTAGCTGGCATTGCTTTCAGTCAGATGTCCAGGTAAATTAGTAATGGAGGGAGACCGAACATTCGTGGTGAGTGTATGGGACAGCGGTGCGCATGAAACAAGTGAAAGATCCACTGTCGGAATCCGTGCATCACTGATCCCACTAATTCTGAGAGCTGATTCGTGATGTGAGTCCACTTCATGACAGTGCTTGAATGAAACCACCGAACTGAAATGCGAAACTCCTGGCCGCACACGGACATCCGCCATCCATGCGACTCGACAGTCTACCGAATCGTGTTACAGCTTTCGATATGTAGATACTTATCTCCCAGTACATTGAACTAACTTGAAATGAATCATGATTCTTCATGTGACTATGAGGCTCATTTCGCAGAACGCCTGGACACGAATACCTGCGGAAAACCTTATTAAGTACGACGACACGGCAGCGTTTCCATATATTGAGCGTAGGGTGCGGCAACACCAATAGCAACCATAAATAGAAGTCTACTTTTTGTAGCAGACATCTACCTCATCATGGCCTGCATTTTGTGCAGTAAGAAGTAATCGACTAAAATAAAATAAAATAAAAATATTCTCAATTTGCAGGAGGCACACCAAAGAAGGCGTGGTCAGTAGTATGCAGCCAGATTTGCGGCAATTGCTGTTTAAGCGAATATTAATCGTGACAAAGTAAATGCTTTTTAAACGCAAACTGCATGTTCTCGATGTTACACGAGGCACAACATAGAAGGCATGGTCACTTTTGTATAAGCAGATATGCGAGAGTTGTATGATCAGATGGTACTCTCGTGGATTGCGAGACAATAGTGAAACGGCGGATCATCGGCAAGGGTACTTTGCGAGTACGCAAACTCGGACAACAGTACTCAGTGTCACATGTATAAAAGGAGAAACATTGCATCATTCCGCCATACGGTGTTCACACCCAAGAGGGGAGCGCGAATATCCTCTGTTAATTAGCGGGGACTCCGCATGGAGAAACTGCTGAAAATCTTCGTTCTTCTCAAACTCAGTGACGTGTACTACGCACGCAAATGCATGATGTCACGTCCTACACTATGTTGACTGGTTGTAACAACCTACCAATGAAACCAGCCTTATAAAATTCACTTACACTTATAGGCGCTCATTAGCCGGATTTGAACTTAGTCCGTGGCGCTACGCAACCGGTTTCATACCTGTTTATCGTTATCAGAGCAGCGGCTCGAACCAGAAACATAAGGGTTATATCAACAGACAGTACGTATTTCAGATCAATATTTCAGCGACATGCATAGATAACCACAACAAATCAACAGAATAACCTTACAACTTCGGTAATCAAATATTCTTCATCAATTGTGATCTTAGCCAGCCTGGGATGAAGAAATTGAATGAATACGAACAAATTACACTTTTCAAATAGAAGGTAGACCAAGCGGTGAACCACAGCGTATCATCCAGTAACCAGCGTACGTCTGAAAACTGCGTGAGAAACAAGGTGATGTCCATTACTCATAATTTGTCGGTCATACCAGTGACAACAAATACAGATGGTACAGGTTCTATCAGTTCCAAGTAAGTAGTACCAGACTTGGTAATACCTGACTGCCGGTAGCAGATATATTAAATTTGCTGTCATCGGCAAAGCTTCAAATAATCTTCGAGTATTAGCCTGGAATTAAAGTCAATCAACAGACACATAAACATATGTATATGCTCCATCTCCCAATAAAAGTAAGTTAATTGAACATACAGAAAAAAAGGATGTTATCTATCTAGTTACTCATTAGTTCGCAGAGCTAGGAAAATTAGCTGCAAACGTTTCACCACCGCGCGAGGTGGCATCGTCAATGCGCTGATATACAGAGTGCAATCTCGCTGATTGAATTGTCAATCTGTGATCGGCATACATGGTAGACTTTTTTGAAAGCGACGGCTTACGATCTGCGCCCCGTGATCCCTACCCATTTTCCCCACGGCGAACTTCGTCGCTCAAGTGGTTCCTATATAAGCGGCGTCTTGTAATCTCTCTAAATTCCTTACGTCGGAGCAGCTGCTAAACTGGGTCGATGTCGACATGCATGTTGATTGAGTCTTCAGTTGAGAACCACGCTTCCAGGAACTCCCTTTCTGTTCTTGTTTCGCCTCGTGCCAGACTCCGTTTTGGCCCAATCGAAGCTGTGTTCTTTTTCGTCCACGTGCGCTGAAACTAGCGGTGATGCATCGTACATTTGTACGCTCGTATGTGCTCCGGTATCCATGTTGCCATTTCCTCCCTGTTTGGTCAACACAGTCCTTTTACGCAATTTCTGCAACGTTGTCTGTATGCAACATTACCTCATCCACGCACCTCCAGTGCTTCCTTTGGTTTTGACATAGATCTCCTCAAGGTGGTAGTTGGTTTGTCTGCTACATTGAGGTGATGCTGTTTACATAGTCTCGCCGCCATTTCGGATATGTTCATCATATAAAGCAAAACAAACCGTCTCTCCGTCATTGGTGTAGACTGTCTGTTAGCGTTGTTGTGGCTCAGACACCTCCGGATGAAACCTCGCGGGTATCCGTTGAGTCCCAAACATTTAAATCGATGCTTCTCTTTTTGTTGCCTAGCCTCCACGGTACTGCAGTGTGTTTGTACTCTACAAAGTAGTGTCCGCACACATCTTGCGTTGTAGCATTTCTGGTGGTTGCTGTTAATGTGTAGAATTTGGGCTGTATGTGTGCCTTTTCTGTAAACTTATGTTTGCAGCCTCCCTTCCATGCTTCTGGTTACTAATACGTCCAGGAAAGACAATCGGCTTTCATTTTCCAGGTCCATCGTAAGTCGCGTGTCATCAGTGGCATTGTGTGTGACTATCCTTTTTACGTCTGTCAGCTTACAAAGGGTAACAGCAGTCATCACAGAACGCCTGAACAGCAGTGAACAACCAATTCGGGAACATAACGACCGAAAACGTATGCAAGCTACTCTATTTTTATCTGTCCAACCTACTTCCCTTTAAACGGGAAGATCTATGAACAATTGAAAGGCGCGCCAATGGGATCACTTTTATCGGGACTCATCGCGGAGATGGTAATGCAGAAATTGGAGGGAGATGTACTCCCACTCATTAATTAATCCGAAACTGTGGGTCCGGAATGTTGACGACTCTATTGTGATCATCAAACGAAGTCAAGTAACAGTCGCACCACAGCTATTGAACAATGCCATTAAAGACACGCGATTTACGATGGAACTGGAGAACGAAAGCCAACTGTCTTTCCTTGACGTA